AAGGGCCACAGTCTACAGGTTGAAAAGCAACTTGTTTGACTTTAAGGGGAACCAAAGGTATCACAAGAAAAGTTTGTGTGTGGGATGTTTATGTTAGGAGGTCAAATGGGGAATGTGGAGTTAAGGAAGTGGGCCCTTCATTCAGATTGCAGATTTACTGTGCTAAGGATACAGAGATATTAGAAATGGTTACATACAGAACCTATCAGCTCTGGTGGAGAGTCTAGCAACCATAGCTCCACTGTTTCCAGGACCACTACATCCAGTACTTTAACCCAAAACTTGCCAATAGACATAAGACAGTTCTGAGCATCATCATTTAAGTGCAGGTGTAGTACGTTATCCATGGTGCAGGAGTAAAGCCAAGATTCAGAGCATCTCTGCCTGTGCCTGTTAGACAGTGCTATTATGTATAAATTCATGCTATCATATATTGGGCTTTTTGCAGCCATGATTGAAATTACCTATGATTGAGACCAAAACTGAGTGTTGCTTAAAAGCCCAGGGGGACAATGCATGTGACATAGGAGGTAAAGAAGGATGAAGTAAAGCAAGACCATCCTTGTAATGTGAATGGTTCACATACAGTGATTTTCCTGGTTTTTATGATTCTACTTCACTTCCCAAATTTGTCACTGCAGATATGCCAGTGGACACGGAAACATGCAAATGATCAGAAATGTTGTTGCGTCACTTCAGAACACAAGATGATGAGCCATTATGTTGTACTGTTGCTGGAACTGTTATATCCCTATATTTAGAAGCAGTTTGTTTTTCAAGCTGTGCTTACAGTGATCCATTTTCAGTTGGGCATGAAACACTGATGAGACATGCACTGATGAGTTTCCACATGCTGTCCTGAAGCTTCATGTTAATTTTTTTCATAGGGAGACTTTTTTTTTTTTTTTTCTTTTTTTTTTTCTGTTTTATGGGATGTCTCAGAAAAGCTTTCCATCCTGTGTTGTAACTAAATTTAAACTGAAAACTCTTCTTTGGTCACTTATTGCATACCAGCTGTAGTTGCTTAGCATTCTCTTAAGAATCATTTTAGTCCAATCTGTCATAGGCCAGAGAAATAGTCTTTATTTCTAGTTTTGAAAAACAATGTCTATTGTTTCTTGTGGAGTATACTAAAGGGTATCTGCCTACAGTATCTCATTGCAGGAGCCTTAAAAAAGTACATTGCTGGTCACATATCTGAGTGATATATTAATAGTTGTTGTCTTTTAATATAATGTTTAGGGCTTTTTAGCCTAAACATGGTAGTTAATAATATTGGTTGTAACAAAGAATTGAAAGGCACACCCATACTCCTAGAAACCAAACCAAACCCCTCTAATTGCATTAAATTAATTTCATACTGAAGACTTGTATTAAAAAAAAAATACTCTGGAGAAAATACTGTTATTTTGAAGAGGAGAATGTCACAATACATGTAGTTCTGCATGAGTAAGTCTATATTTTGTTTCTGGATTGCTCTGCCAAAGTTCTTCTAGATTTGTACCTGTAATTTTTTTGTGTTGTAACTCAGAACAGGTCACTCAGCTGTTTTCTTGGGTGAGGACAAAGCCAGTGTCAGTTAGCACTGCATTTTTTTTTCCTGGCCAGTCATAGGCAAGTCCCACAGCTATGCAATTGTCTTGTTTGCTGAGGTCTTTTAAAGCCTCCATCCTGAAGCGTATGTGGGTGCCTGCATCTGGGCTTCCAGGTTTTCTGTATTAGTAAATGGTTTGACTTTTTATGTAAAAAATAAATGGCCCTTTCTCTCTCTCTCTCTCACTTTTTTTTTTTTTTTTTTTTTTTTTTTTAAATTTTATTTGGAAGCACAATCAGCCATCTTTGTCACGGTTGTGGGCTGCACTCTCATTTTAGAGCACCTGTTTGGCCATAGAGATGCTGTTTGGCCAAAGCAATATAGAAATATAACAGACTGATGATTGGCCGTGCTGACCTCTAGTGTAGTGTCAGTAAATACCTTCTCCCACCTAAATGTGACAGCAGTTCACAAGGACATGCACACACACTTGTCCTGCAGGCACATTTTGAGAGTTGTGAGACCTCACATGCATCTGTTCCTCTTGCTTCTCATCTCAGTTTAGGGGCACAGTGAAAAATACAGTAAATGTAAGTTGACTCTGTGCAACCTAGGCCTAGTATGCTTTCCTATTTCTGCTTAGAAGAAAATTAATAGCAACTTAAATAGGCTTGAAATATAGGTTATAAAGAAAAAAGTAGTGTCTCAAAAATACTGAAAAAAAGACGTTCCAGACAAAATCAAAAGGTTTAAACTATGACAGTTGTAATGAAAATTCTTAGACAAATGAGTAAGAGTACAATTCAGCTTTGGATGAGATGTTTGGAGAGATATTTGTAAATCACTGGAAATTCTGACATTTTAAAACAGGTTTCTATTCAATATCAGAATAAGTACCACAGTAATATTTTAATTCCTCAGTTAGAGATTTTTGGTGCATTACATTATTCAAATGAACTTTGAAAAAAATTAGAATACTTTCTACCACAAAGTCTCATTTGTTAATATCACTATACAGGTTAGAGAAGTTCAGTTACAGGCACATGTTAAAATGGTACAAAAGCAGGAGAGTCTTAAAAAGGAAGAATATGTTGTCTATATATCTCAAAGGAGACAGAGAAAAATAATGAAAACAAAATTTTCTTTTTTTGTCATGGGTATTATGATAAAAAGAAAAAAGGAATAGTATTAATTTCATTATTATCATTAACAAAGAGATGTTTGAGTGAAATATGTATCTCCATTTCTGGAAAGATTTTAAGGATTAGCCATCACACAATTTCTATGCAAAGCATGTGACATTGTCCTGCTTGACATCCTTGTCTCTAAATTGGAGAGACATGGATTTGATGAAGGGACCACTTGGTGGACAAGGAACTGGCTGGATGGTTGCACTCAAAGAGCTGTGGTTAATGGCTTGTGTCTGAGTGGAGAGCAGTGATGAGTGGCACTCCTCAGGGTCGCTAATGGGACCGGTGCTTTAACATCTTTGTTGGTGACATGGACAGTGGGATTGAGTGCCCCCTCAGCAAGTTTGACAGTGACATCAAGCTGTGTGGTGTGGTTGACATGCTGGAGGAAGGGATGTCATCCTGAGGGACCTGGGCAGGCTTGAGAGATGGGCCTGTGCAAACCTCATGAAGTTCAACATGGCCAAATGCAAGGTCCTTCACATGGGTCAGGGCAATCCCAAGCACAATTACAGTCTGGGTGAGGAGTGGATTGGGAGAAGCCCTGAGGAGAAGGACCTGGGAGTGTTGGTTGGTAAGAAGCTCATGAACTAACATGTTGAGCTTCTCATCAACCTCGCCCAGAAAGCCAACCACATCTTGGGATGCATCAAGAGAAGTGTGGCCAGCAGATCTCAGGAGTTGATTCTCTCCCTCTACTCCTTTCTTGTGAGATCCCGCCTGGAGTACTGTGTCCAGCTCTGGGGCCCCCAACATAAGAAGGACAGGGACCTGTTGAAGCAGGTTCAGAGTAGGGACATGAAGATGATCAGGGGGCTGGAGCTCCTCTCTTATGAGGACAGGCTGAGAGAGTTGGGGTTCAGCCTGGAGAAGAGAAGGCTCTGGGGAGATTGTATAGCGGCCTTCCAGTACCTGAAGGGGGCCTACAGGAAAGCTGAAGAGGGACTTTTTATGAGGACATGTAGTGATAGGACAAGGAGTAATGGCTTTAAACTGAGAGAGGGTAGATTTAGAGTAGATATTAAGGAAAAAAATCTTCAATATGAGGGAGGTGAGACACTGGAACAGGTTGCCCAGAGAGGTTGTGGCTGCCCCCTCCCTGGAAGCTTCCAAGGCCAGGTTGGATGGGGCTTTGAGCAACCTGGTCTAGTGTAAGGTGTCCCTGCCCATGGCGGAGGGGTTGGAACTAGATGGTCTTTAAGGTCCTTCCAACCCAAACCATTCTATGTTTCTATGTATTTGTACAGTAAAAGTGCATATTATGTAAAAGTATGTGTAAAACTAGGTATTTGTACAGTAAAACTGTAAATACGTTAAACTATGTATTTGCACAGTACAAGTACATGCCAGCTGTTATAAAACTCAGTGTTGAAAAGCATTCTTCCTTAATTTTTATATCAACAGGACATTCCATATGAATGTCACCTATTGAATTATATCCCTTCTGCCATTTCAGCAGAATCCAAATAAATCAGTTCTAAACTTAAATTTCAAGATATGTTTAATCTATTACAAATCATATTGGAGAGCATAAATTAAAAGATGTGGATTAGAATATGGATTAGAAGAGTTATAGGGTTTTTTTCCCGTGAGAAGATGAAAGCTATACATTCTTAGCCTTTGCAACATGTTTTTTTGAGGATTGTTATGTGATTGTCCAGTTACTGATATTTTTTTTATATCTAAAAATAAAATAACTATATTAGTAATGTTAAAACCCTTCTTTTTCAAATAATCCCAGAGATGATGAGCGAAACATCACAATTCTACAAAGGCTTCAACTCAGAAAAGCCACATCTTGTTTGGACACAGGGCTGTTGCACATTAAGGATATTTTCAGTTTGATTGCATTGCCCCCTTGCTGTAAGAACTAGGGCAGGGATAGCTGGCTTGGCAACCCTGTGTCCCATTTTTCTGATTGAGCCAGGGCATGCTTAGTGCACAGCCTATGGACCTTCGAATTTTAGCAGTGCCTCAGATCCCACAGTGTAGATGTGGTCATGGCACCCATTGCAAAAATAAAACTCCTGACTGAATTGCTTCTGAATTATTTCAACGATATATTTTCTTCAGTTCACTGAAACTAAGTTTGATCAGCCTTCAGCCTTTTGTTTTGTTGTGTCAGTTATTTAAGACTGTGTTATCCTGCACAGTGCACCTGTACATTTTAATCTTCTTCCGAGTTCAGTGAGAATATTAAAAAAAACTCCACCTCTCCAAAATAACAATAAATGCTAAATACCTTTCCAGTTTTAATCATTAATATGCTTTCCTACCTGTATTGTAATGCTTGGTGCAGTAACATAAATCCTTTTCTTCTTTCAACAGAAACTGTGGCAGAGTGAGACCTTCTGCTACTTGAACTGCTCCCTTTTCTTGCCATTCAAAAATGAGATCATTCATTGTGTATCCAACTAAAAAAAACCAAAACAACAAAACCACAAATAAACTCTAAGGCAGCTGCAAAAGCAGGGACATATGAAATAGTGATAATTTAAGTAAGTCATAAAAAGGACATAATACTGGGGCTCTGCTTATACTTGTTAATCACAAAGTGTTATTGGCCATTCTATACCATCCTAAACTAGAAAAAATCTCAGGTTTTGCATCTTTTGTGAAATCTTAATGGCCAGGTAGTCTATTAATGGAATTAACAAAAGCATCAAAATGAAATAAACATCCATTTCTGTTGGGTGCATGGGAAAATCTTACACTTTCCAGTCCATGAAGGGTAAAAGAGGCCCTTCACACTCAGATCTCTTTCTCTTTCTGTTTTAGTCAAATGCTAACGAGCTGTTAAGGATAACCTACCGATAACTGGAAAGATCTTTTAAATTTTCAGTAAATGATTACTGTTCAAAGTATATTGTTCAGAACTTGGTAAGAGTAACTGCCTGCCTAAAATGTTGAAATTTTGAGTTCCAGTGAAGGAAATAACCTCTCTGGTGTGTGGGCATCAATCTATCCTTTTATATTCAGTGAATTCATTACTCCTTGAATACATCTATATGTCATATGCTGACCTCAGGGTTGAGACACACTTCATCTTTTCTGATTTGTCTATGCTGAATGCACCTATAAGCTAAGAATAGGTGTTTATAAATTTAAAACTATTTTCAACACCTCTCCTTGCCTCTAGAATCTTGATGTTTCTTTTGGGGAGTACCTTCCTAAAAGGTATTTACAGGTACTAAGGCTGACCGCTGGTATTTTTTGGGGGGCTGGAGGAATATGCTAAAAATAAGACTATTTCCTTTTAAATAAGTATTTAATTAAGATCAGACATTACTCGAGTCATTACAAGCATATATTAACTGTGCAAGTCAACATTTATTTTTCTATCTTATTAAATGCATGGCATTCCATAAACAGAGTCTTAAAATTCACTATCAAGTGCCATAAACTATGAAAAATCAGAAGTGTAGCTCTTATCAAACTTTGCATGAATTCAGACAAAAAGCAGTTATGTGTAAAGCAGATTATCATTTGAAGCATGTAGATTATGGCTTGAAGTGATTACCCGTGAGTAAAACTCATTGCACTGACAAGAAACAACTGCTGTGTCAAAATGTATTTCACTAAATCATATTCATTCGTCTCTAGTGCTTGCTTTTAATTTTGATTATGGTCTACCCTGCCCAATAATTCTTCCATAGTTCAATATATTAAAAATAATAGCAGTGTATGCAAAATGCTGAGGTAGTCATTAATTTTTATTATGTTTACATTTAAAATACCCAAACATAGCTTTAGCATTCTATACTGTAACTTCAGTTTTGTAAGTCAAGATCATAATTATAAAAAGTGTCTTAAAATATAGAAGAGCTTAATGGAGATGTGAGTTTATGTTATACCAAGAAAATTTAAAATAGTATAATATATATAACATTTCCACTGGGTATGTTACATTAAATCAACTAAAATTAAATGTTTATTAAATAAATGGCCCTTTATTAAATGTGAAATTACATGGACCAATCAAACGTGCCCACTGACTTGGGGAAATCTAAACCCAAGTAATAGTCCTGTAATTGGGGAAATGAGAAAACAAATTATTTAAGCATATTGAACTATTTGACAACACAAATTTGTCTCTAAGTTTTCTTTAGTGAGCAGTGTTAACAAGGACAGGTATTCTTGATTTTTCAACAGAAAATATCTCATTATTTTGCACAGCTCCAAATAAACAGGGGATCTCTTTCTTTTTTCCAACTACCGCATCATTCTTTCTTCTTGGCATGGAGAAAAGTAAGAAAGACTACAGTGGAAAGTATCTAGTCAACATCAGAAATAAATCAGAATCAGAGAATTTGCACGGACAAACTGGAGCTCATGTCCTAGGCCCATCCAAGGATTCTATTCACAAACGGGCTAAACTCCACATTGTTCTGTGTTAGGCAATTCTCAGGAGGAACAGCAATACTAGTTGTGCTAACTGAGCTTCCTTAATATTTCAAAAAAGGACAATAATTTTGTTTATTGATTAATTTTACAAAGAAGACTGCTGAATAGCACAGGGCTTAACACTCAGAATGCTCATGATACTGTGTGCACTGTGCATAAGGGGAAAAAATAATTTCTATAAAATGGATCTTTAAAGCAGTAATTGGTTACCATACTTAGTATATACACTATTACATTTTCGGTGTATGGTGTTAGATATGCAATGAGCCTAAAATTCAGTCCCCAAGCACCCTAATTTTGGGAGCTCTGCTGATTAATGTAATTAGTGTCCCTTATTGAAGCAACAAGAGAAGGCATCAAGGAAGATTTTGAAATTACCTTACAGTTCAGTCTCAGCAACAGAGCAGAGACTTACGGTGCTGGTATGGATAAGGCGCCCAATTGCATAGTGCTATCAGTGGGGGGTGGGGGGCTAAGTGCACAGCAAGTATGAGAAGCGTCAGATTTGGCAAGAAAAATTTTTGAAGCCTCAGGGGCAGAGTATTATCTTTTAGATTTAGGATCCTAGAATTGCCAGTCATAAAAGTTTACAGTAATAGATTTATGTGGGTAACTTTAAAATCCTGATGCCACTGCCTGAGTTCTATGGGGCTATACAGATCTTTCATGCATACGTATTTGCAGTACTGAGGCCTACATTTGCAAAATGGAGATGATTAGATGCTGCAGCAAAGAAGGTCTTTACTAAAATGCATTTACCTTACTCATCTGGATGAAAAAGTATACTTGTCCATCCACTGCTGAAATGAATTTTACAGGAATAAAAATGAAAACAGGCAAATTATTTCATTGTCTGTATAAGATTAACAACTTAGCTAAAAAAAGGCAGATGAGAGAAGTGAGTAATGGTGCTCTCTTTGTTCCAGGTTTATGCAGCACCAGTAAATCTAACAGATCAAGGTCATAATTAAAGCTGAGTGTTCCTAAGACAGAATTGTAATTAAAAATAATTGATCTGAATGCAGCAGTACTCAAATAGTAAAATTCAGTAAGACAGAGATCTTTGTGTGGTCTCTCAAATTTTCTTGATATTCTTGAATAATGGCACGACTAGCAGAAAGGGCTAATTTGTTGGATAGATATAAGAATGGTTATATGAACAGATCACCCTCTCAGTAGACTATGGGCTTGAAATGTGAAGACTTTATTCTGAACAAATGTGTGCTTACCAGTACAAGCTTGCACTGTATGTGTTTATATTGTTAAATATGTTCTGTGTCTTGTGAGAACTGCACTGAAATACGTAGTAGTTTTAAAGAAGACGTTTCTTTTTAGGGATTCTAAGGGATAAGGAAGATAATGGTGCCTTTATTGTGCTGTTAGGTCAATACATAATGAATCCACAGAAACTAGCTGGCAGGAGAGTTGTCACAATCTAGGACCTTAATTCTGAGAAAATAGTGGAACAAACTCACAGCAGTGTCATAGAATGATGAATCATTTCCCTTGCAGTTTTTCAAGTTTGGATTCACAACTATAGAAGGCCTATCTCCCTGGTGATACCTGTTTCTAGGTTCTCCTCCTTTTCTATGTCACAGAAGCCCATACCAAATATTAATGCAGTGATGAGTTTTGCATTTTATTTATATTTTAGATTTTCAAAAATAGAAAAGACAATCACATGCCTCTAACATTTTTACCAGGAGGGCACTGTATTTTGTCTAGGGCAATAATTTGTTACCTTCCACTCAACTCTAAGAGTATAGGAAGAGATGACCCAAAGCCAAATCAGAAGATTGCTTTTATCGACTACACATAACTTTGTATGTTTATTAACTCTTGTTAGAGATGTATGGAGCTTATTCTGTAGTAGACATAAGCGTTTAGCTCTTGAATCTTGACTTCTTGGGGATAAGACTTGAGTGCAAGATGTTTTCTCTCTGTGACTCACTTTCATTGTGTTTTGCTTTCTACAGGAAATGTGGTGTGCATGTCTGAAGGGAGTCCCAGTTTATGTGTTTGGAAGAAAAAACTGTGAGTCTATTTCTGATCACACCTGTCTTTCAGGGTAAACTTTTGCTACATAATGGTTATTCCTATTTGTAATTTCTTGATGTTCCATCTCACTATATCTCTTGCTGCTGCTTTGTGAGCAGAACATATATATCTCTTACTTATTTTCATTTGCTACAGCCCAACATGATATTCAGACTCTAACTAAAAAGGTGTTTTTCTTTTTTGACTATTAGGTGGTTTTGGTAGCTTACAAATTGCTACCAGATATTTTTTTATTACCAGTGATTGGGAAATACAGTGTTATAGAGGAAATACCTAGTGGCTACATTTTAGTGCTGAAGAAAGGACACAGTCACTGACCTAGTTAGTATATGAGGGCGCAGCTCACATTTTCATTGCTGGTGGAAAAAGTGACCCTTCTATACTACAGATATAGCTGAAAGCAGTGGAGGCTATCATCTGCTATAGTGGTCTGCAGGACCAGGTCAACCTAAACTAAATCAGCTGGATTAGTAAGGACTTCTGTCACTGAAATGAAATATTCTAGGGTTTGGGTTTGCAGGGTGTAAATGCATGACGGTCGAGAAAGGAAGTAGAGGTACCAAATCGTGTGTGTGTTACAGGAGGCACACCAGCTGCTGTGGCTGAAGTAGAGTGCAGTTTGCAATGTATTTGTTATTGTCTGGCTACTCTCCATGGGTTTTCTCTTGCTTAATTCTATAAAGATATTATTAATCACATAAAATCTAAGTGATGTCATCATAGGACTGGAAAGAAAGGGCAGAAAAACACCTTGTTGCATTGAACAGCAGAGTTCAGAAGTTACAGGGCTGGTTGGGTTACATTAATATTGTCTCTATTAACCCAAAATCCGAGGTCTTGCACATCTGTAATACAAAATCAGATGATAAATTGTTGGTAACTGCATGACTAGGCTATCACTTCAGGAGGAGAATTTTGCCAGAGGGAATATTTCTCAAGAATACAAAGAACT